ATAACATGGTTTCCCCTCCTGGTAATTAAGATTCAACTCTATCTGGTCTCTCATTTTTTCAGGCATTACCTTAGCGTAACTCATCAATCCTAAGAGCACCTGAAGTCCTTAAAGCAGAGCCCAAGGGGCCTGGTTCCGCCATCCTCCCAGAATCTCAGCGAGGGGACACGTACTGTGGTTTACACAAATGTACTCACACCCAAGACTTCATGTGGTTTAGGCCCAGTAGTGTCTTGAGAGAGAAGTGCACAGCCAAGCAGAATCTGATACACTCAGCAAAGGTTCTTTACTCTATTTGCTCCTAATTATTGAGGGAGACAAAAGGCTACAGAGAATGATAATAAACTTCAGGATATCTGTACAACCATGATACTAAAATACTTGACTTGCGGTTATTCTCCTGGGTATCATGAGGTTGACATGTAATACCCACTCAACTAAACCTCTATAAACAGCGGTTTTCCACAATCATAACCACTATGCCCACTTCAATGGGCAGTAGTATTCGGAGAACAGCCAGATGTAGTGCCTGTGTAATAAACACCAGACCAAAAGAGCTAGGAAAGCTGTTTATGTCCATACCCACCAGGAACCTTTGTCTGCACAACTCACTGAAGAACTGGTAGGAATGGAAGTCTCCTCAACAAAGCTTCAAGACAAAATACATCCCTTAAAGTAGGCACTGCCCTCCGCCCCTTCCCAGTTTTTCAACTAAAATAATTTTTGGCAAGTGAGACTAATAAAAAACAGGTACTTTGTTTTTACACAGATTCAATTTGTTTATAAGCAGAAAATAATTATGTACTTTCATGGCATTTAGCTACTCTGTGTAGTATTGGGGTAGATGGGTATTGGGGTAGATGGGAAGACCAATCATTTTCAAATGTTTTTAGGCACTCTATCGATAGTATCTCATTTAAATTCTCAAAACTATTCTTTTTAAAAATTTTTTTTAAAAATTTTTTAAATATATTTTATTGATTTTTTTTTTACAGAGAGGAAGGGAGAGGGAAAGAGAGTTACAAACATCAATGAGAGAGAAACACCAACCAGCTGCCTCCTGCACACCCCCCACTGGGGATGTGCCCACAATTAAGGTACATGCCCTTGACTGGAATCGAACCTGGGACCCTTGAGTCTGCAGGCCGACGCTCTATCCACTAAGCCAAACTGGCTAGGGCTCACAACTATTCTTAAGAGTAGAAGAATCAGTCCATTTTACAGACACAGACGTTAAAGGACAGAGAGACTGAATAATCTGTGTAAGGCCCCAAAGCAGGTTAGTGGCAAAGGAGGCAAGAGCCATCATTTGCTCTCAGGCACAGCGATAGCCCAAAGTGTGTGGACATTTTATAAAGATTGTATGGAGCACCTATAAAATTCTCATGCAAAGAAACACCATTTTAGAAAAAATAACTTCCCAGTCCTTGTCAGGATTTGCCCTGAACTTCCCAATACAGCTCAAAGCAGACTGCACAGTCAAAAGAGATCATCACGTACTACAGTTACTGGTGAAACCAAGAATAGAGCACAGGTCTGCTGACCAGGTCCAGGCCCAATCAAGCGTGCTCTTTGGATGCTGACACCCTTCTGAAGTTTCAAGTCAGTTGAGAATAGCAAAGAAATGAGTTAATAATTTTGGTAAATAGAACAGAATGTGGAAAGTAGCTAAGGATTTGCTATAAAAGAGGCATAACATATGAAGATCTCTACCGAGGAAGTTTTCAACCAAAAACACTGATGTTTGCATATTTCATCTTCCACAGCAAAAATGAAAAAGAACCTTTGCCCTCCCCTCCCCATGAGTTGTGAATGATTAGCTTGCCTATGCTGATAGCTAAGGAAAATATGAGTGCCTCTCCCAGCTGATTAGAATACTTACAGATTTACTCTACTAACAAACTCCTCCAATTCTATGCAAAGACAACTGGACACCAGGAACAGTTAGCCAATATCAGCCATAATAAATTTCCGGTGAAGCAAGCAACTCTCCCATTAGCTCTGATGGCCATGCCCTGAAGAGGCTAAAACAGGAAGACTTCTGGGTGCCAGAGAAGTAGAGAGAGGAGCCACATGACCAGGAAATTGAGATGGCAGAGAAGTGATGGGGAAGGGACCCAGGAAAGATGTGCTAGAGAAACACAGGCAACCAGCTTGAAGAGTTGGTGTAGTGAGAAAACACTACTTATTGAGTTTGACATCATCAGTAAGAATAAGGAACGGAAGGCTGGCGTGGCTCAGTGGTTGAGCATTGACCTATAAACCAGGAGGTTACAATTTGATTACCAGTCAGGGCACACAACCACGTAGCAGGCTCGATCTCCAGTAAGGGGAGTACAGGAGGTAGCTGATCATGATTCTCTTTCATTGATGTTTCTATCTCTCTCTCCCTCTCCCCTCCTCACTGAAATCAATAAAAATATATTTTAAAAAGAAGGAGGAGGAGGAGGAGCCAAGAGCAAGAAGAAAAACAGAATCAAAGATTTAGGTTTAATCTAGGTTACCAAGGCATCCTACTCAAGAGTTAAAACTAGATAAAATTAGCATTTCCAAATGCTAAACAGATTTTAAATTTAGTGCTTAATCTTGCTATTATAAATTGATTTTTTAAAACAGAAGGATAAAGTAATTGTCGAGCCATATCTTGTATCACATTCTTCGTGGTTTGCAAGTTTTAGCAGCACGCAGGGAGAGATAAGACTTGAGCTGAGAGGTTATGATCTAGGGCTAGGCCATCACATCAAGTCAAAGCTACTCAATGATCTTTCTCAATTTCACCCCAACTTGGCCAAATCAAAATTCCTACACTCAGGTAAAGGCATTTTAGTTTTTAAAAATAGATATCAAACTTCAAATAACTGAAATCCTCAGAAAACTTTCTTTCACTGTTCTACATTAAATACCTCTTTCCAATTTGTTCTGGAAAGATAAAAAAATAAGTTGGCTTTATGGATTATTACATATTTAATTTTTATGTCTGTGAACATTTTTCTCTATTTTTACCATTCTCATGACCCATCTCTCAGCATTTTTAGATGTATAATAAATATTAAAAGTTTAATCTAGTTATGACTGATGATGCAAACCACGGATTTATAGGGGGTTATACTTGAAATCTCAGAACCTGCTTCCCCTATTATGTTATCGCTGTTCTTAAGGTACTGTCCAAGTGTCCAGAAATGTTCATTTAAAACAAAAAGGAGAATAATCAAAAGAAGAAATCAATACACAAAACCCAATTAGAAAACCGAAAAACTAAACCAAACATAGCAACCTACGTACTTTTACAATGAATATTTTTCGTCCATCTCCCCTTCCACTCCTGGAGAAAATGTCTAAATATTCACCCCATCCCCGAGTCTAAAAGTGCACTTCAGCCACAGACACTGGCCATCAGGGCACATGTCCAAGTTCTAATGCACCCCCAGCCCCCCCTATTCCTTGACCTAGCCAGAGTACCTGTAGGAAATTACAGATAAATGAAACAGAATCCCTCGATAATATTTTCATCGTATAACTTCACTCCGAAATGTTCTCAGCAAACCCTCCTACCCACGTTTAGTAAGAGTACTCATCAGATCTGACTCTCAGCTTCGTGAAATATCACAGGAATTTTTAAAAGCCTCATTTAGCAATTTATAAAATTCTTATGCATCTCTCAAATGAAAAGTGCAAACTTTTAGGGCTAGAAAAAGAGTTAAAACTACTCTTCAAAACATAGCAACCTTAAATACAGAAAAAGTCCCACTAAAATTCAAAGTATATGAGCTACAAACCAATCAACGAAATCCAAACTGGTGATAAATGATATTTCCTATTTCAGCCGCTGTATTTAAAATTACACGTTAACTCCCCAACACCCTGGCCCTTCCCTCCTCCCTTAACCCTGTGCCCAGGACCTTTCTGTTCTTACAGCAGGAGTCACTTTCTTCAGGAGATAGGCACACGCTGTCACTTTAATCTAGAATCATGATCTAAAACTAACCGCCAAGGAAGGAAGAAGAATAGGATGCTAGAGGCCAGCCTGAGTCTGAGCACAGCGCAGGGTTAAAGGAAACCATTTCATAAGATCAAGTGTGGAGGAGAAGCAGCAGGAGCGAAGAGGAAAAAATCAAGTTACATAAAGTCCAATTGTACTCACTGTTTCCTTATTGGGAAGCAGCTCCTTTCTGATTCTGAAGAAGTTCTTGCCGTACTGCCTGAGCCCCTTAACGAAGCGTTTCTGTGATAGAAAGAAACAACAAATGGGATGTAAAAACCGAAAACAAAACAGGATGTCAGCAAAGCAAAGATCTCGGCAATCAGCAGCATAACAAAAAGTCTTGGCCAGGGAATACTGACCGGCTACGGGTGTGTTTCAGCAGCAGACCTGCCCCCCACCAGGACAGGCCCGTCCCAGCCTCCATCAGAACCCCCAGCCCGCATCCCACACAGGTTTAGGGAAAGGAGGTCGTGCCTGCGGCGCGGAAGCAATCTGTGCCCTGTGCCCGCAGTCTGCGCCCTGGTCCACGAAGATATAAACAACAAATGCGTTCCGCGTTTCAATAAAGCAGCACAACTGCTCTCCACCTGAGAACGAGGCTTCCCAGAGTGTCGAGCAGAAGGGAGGAAACAGAACCAAACCTGGAGAATTTTCTCTAGGACACGCCAGAGGGCTAAAAGCCCTTTCCGTAATCCGAGGAATTCACTAGGAAGGGGCCGATATCAGAAGCCCACCGGGGGCCTGAACATCAGCTGGCCTGCCCCGCCATCTCCGCCACTAAAAGCCGCTCCAGGGCATCCAATAAGACCCACCAGCACCCCTTCCTTCTTCCCGAGCCCCTCACCCCCCCTCCGCCCATTTCCTTAGCAGTCCCGAGACTTTCACTTTGTCCCATTCCTCCCAGGCAGCCCCTCCCTGCCCAGTAGGGGCAGCTCCCGGCTCCCCCGGCCCCCACCTCGGGGCGGGGCTCGGAGCGGGTCGGAAGCCCTGCCTACCCCCCACCCCTGCCTACCCCCCACGGCAGTCCAGGTCCGGGGGCGCGGGGCGCGGGCAGCCACAGGTCCGCTGGGCTGGCGCCGAGCGCACTCAGGGTCCCGGGCAGCGAGAGGCCGCGCCTGTCACGGGCTCCGGCTCCACAAAGCGCAGGGAGGTGGCAGCGGGGTGGCTCGGTGTGTGACCGCGGCCGCGCAGCGCGGGCCACCGCTGGCACCGGGGGAGGAGGCTGGAGCGGCGCAGAGCCCGGCCGCGGGCGGCTGCAAAAGGCGGCCTGGATTGCCGCGCTGCCCGCTGGTCGCGCACTCCGGCCCCCGCCCGGGGACTCTGCGCCAGGCCTCCCGGTACCGCGCTGGTCTCTAGTTCCTTCCCCCAGAACCACAGGAATAAATCCTGGCAGCAAAGCACAGAAACTTCCTACCGCAGCGGGAGTGCGCAGGGAGCGCCCACGGTGCTGGGGCCGCGCGGGCACTCGGGGCCCTTCCCCGGCCCCTCCGTCTCTAGTCCTCCCTCCCGGCGGGCACGCCAGCAGCGCTACCGCCGCACTCAGCCTCCCCTGGGCTCCAAAATGGGAGGCTGGCCCCACGACCCTCGACCCTCGCGGTCCCTTCGACCCCCCGCGGTCCCTTCCGCCCCGGGATTGTGGGCGGCTGCTCCCGCGAGGCCCAGGCATTAGCCGGCACCTCGCAAGGCGGCGTTTCACAACTAAATCACCGTGGAAGCTTCCCAGCCAATAAATCACCTGCCCACCGGGGGAGAGTCCCTCCCACTCCCCGTGTTTGAGACCAGCCGGGCCAATTCAGTGAGGAGCCAGACTTGGCCTGCAAGACAGACCTGCAACCTCCCACTCCATTCCTCGAGGCTCTGCATTTTCAGATTTCACCCCTTTCTAAGATATGACTCATCACTGTCAATTTTCACTGTAATTCTTATAGGTCAAAGGAAAAGTCTGTCCAGGCACAAAAAAAGCAAGCCCTCCTCCAGTCTGCAAGAGTGACCTCGGTTACTTAACAAAAGTATCATTCTAATTACAACACGCATCCTGGACTGCGTGCAAAGCTTCTCCATGGGGGACATGGAGAGGAATGAGGCTGCCCTGTCCTCAAGGAGCTCCATGGCAAACAGGTAAACAGATCAATCTCTGGGCCCTTAGAAAAGCATCAGAGGAACAAAGGGCTGTGGGTGGGGCTGGGAGGAGGAAGCAATTTACACTGCTGGTGTCTTGGAGGAAGTGACAAGGAAGAGAGTGAGCCTGCCAGGTGTGCTCAGCAGGGCTTCAAGCAAAGGAGTCAGCCAGGAAGGGCATACAGAACATTCTGGGAACTGCAAGGAGAACAGGGTGTGCAGAAACGAGTGCCAGCAGGTAAGACTGGAGTGGCAGGAGTGGATCGGGTTGCAGAGAGCCTTTTAGACCAGGCTGAGGCCTTAAGGTCCATGAAAAGACTGGATAAGGATGGCTCCAGTGGCAGTGTGGCTGTGGCCTAGGGGCAGACTGGCTGCAATCCAGAGACCAGCTAAAGAGGCTGGTGAGATAACCCAGGAGTGAGATGAGGGAGGCCTGAACTCAACCTCAGCCATCAGAATGAATGCTTCTTCATCCACTCTTAAGTATTCACTGTGCACCTAGCACTGGGAGGAATTTAAAAGTAGCCATGGACCTTTATTACAACAGATTCATTTTTATCAGGTAAGATACATGTGTGGAGTCATTACAGAAACATCTGGGATTTAATTCAGCCAAAGACACAGACTGTGTAGTCCAGAGTGCCTTCCCCAAGATAGTGAGGCTCGCCCAGATCACGAAGAACTGACAGCATGTGCAGAGGTGGAGGGGGTTCGGAAGGCCCTCAATGAAACAGAGGTGGTTATAGGAGAGGGAGTCTACACAAAGTCGAGGTGGGTGACCCAGCGTGAGTGTGACGGTGGAATTCCAGGAGCAGGCCAAAGGACAAACAGCCCCACGAGGAGAGGCCGGCACAATGGAGGCGGCGACTGAGGAAGGCTGACTCTAGAACAGGCTAATGTGGTGGAGCTGAGCAAACTTGAGTGCAGATTCTGATTCTTCCTCTGGACATCACCCATTCAACTAATAATTATTAAGTATCTTCTATATGCCAGGACTTTACATATATTAATTTAAAATCTTCGCTAACCTAAAAGAAATGAATTATCTTCGCTTTACAGACAAGGAAGCTAAGGCACAAATGGTTAAGTAAATAGAGCAAGGTCACCCAACGCCTCAAAGAAAAAGATAGAATTCAAACCCAGGCTCCAAAATCTATGCCCTTCACTGGCACGCCCTCTGTAAAATGGAGGTAAGAGTCTGAACCATTTTTAGTCATGGTAGCATTATCTATGACTCTGCCCTTTCCTGTTGGCCCTAACATCAAGTCACCAAGTCCTCAGTATTCTTCCTACGAAAGGTCTTTCAATGTCCTCCTTTCTTGCCTATTACAGTGCTAGTCTCAGGCCAAGCCCTTCTTCCTCTCTCCTGCTAGCTGGCCTATTAACCCAGCTCCCTCATTCAGCCATTTACAAGCCCCTGCAAGGAATTTCTCAAAACCACCAAGTTCACCATGTGTCCCATACTGTCCTGCTCCCACCCCTCTCTCAGGATAGTTTTAACCTATTCAGAGTGGTGGGAACACACCTTGGCCCTGAATTCAGGGCCCCCCAGGATCCTGTCCCTGTCCACCTTTCTAACCAGATGTCCAGTAATGCCAACTGATCCATGTTGCAACTGTCTGAACTCCAGACTCTGGGCTACCTTTACTATCTACACTGCAGTCTACTCAAGATACTTCCAGTTTACTTCAAACCCAAGTCCAACTCCCTCCCACTCCAAAAGGAAATTTCCCTGACCATTCCCTCCCATTCACCTGGCATTTATTTATTTGTATAAGGCCTCATGTACTAATAGCGTCTACGGCTCTGAAGACAGGTACTGTACCTTACTCTATTTGGCTCCCAATAGCATTAGGCACTTGGAGCTCCCATGTTTCTGATATATATATAAACAAACCATGAGATGACAGGTTGGTTGGGCTAGGGTGGTCACCGTGGGAAATAGTTAAAAATCAAAGGGTTCATTTTGAACTGACTTTCTTGGTTCCATGACATGAAACTCTCCTGATTTTCCTCATATCACCTGGCTTAATTCTCTATTCAACCTCTAAATGTTGGAGTCTTCCCACGGCTTTGTTCAAGGCTTCCTGCTGCTCTCAACCTCCCTCCCAATATATCTCCCACTGCACCCTGGGCTCTAAATATCATTCAAGATTCTTATGACTGTTCCCAAGGCTAAATCTATGGTCCAAACCCACTGGGAACACTTGCTTGAATGTCTCAGACATTTCAAACTGCTTCTAGAAATATGCATTTGACATCTGGTGGTGAGCACAGACCACTTCTGTCAATGCGTTTCAATGACTATGCTATCAAGTGCAAAGCACCATTGGCTCCACTTAAAAAAAAAAAAAAAAAAAAGGAAGTAAAAGCTTCATGTGGCCTGCACTGTTACTTCTCTATGGAAAGCCACAAGGCCTCAAAACTGGTAAAACATCTGCTGCTCAGAGACCAGCCTTTACCTTGTGGTTTACCAGAAATGTAGAGGAGCCTTTAAAATCGAAACAAAGCCAACCCACTCAGAGTGGTCAGTGATCAGCATAGGTCAATATGTTAAACATTCCTTTCCCTCTATTAATTCATTTCTCTTCAAATGAAGACCTTAAAGTCTTTAAGACTAATTTAATAATTAACATTATCGATTTAGAAAGACATGTCTCGGTATACCTTGGAGATATTGCGGGTTTGGTTTCACACCACTGCAATAAAGCAAGTATTGCAATAAGTGAGTCATGATGTTTTCGCTGGTGGAGGGTCTTGCCTTCTATTTGTTAAAAAAAAAAGGGGGGGGGGGTGACATCTGTGAGGTCTGCCTGTACTCTAAGCTTCTGAATGTCAGCTCACAGACATGGTCTGTTTCTTAGTAGTGGAGCTGAAATTCAGCATTTCCAGTGCTGAAATCCCAGGCCTCATGAATTATTTCTACGTCCCTTACCTTTTCTGTGCCTGACAGTGTACAGATATTAGAACGCTAGGAGGCTGAGGGTGAAGGAGAGAGAAGACTGTGCTCACTTAAAAGGCGGTAACGTGGGCTGGGTCACTGCTCGCAACACTCCACAGACTTGCGGCCGGGCCACTCTCAGGAGCTTGAACTGAGGGGCTGGCGGGTGTTTGTTTCCACTTAACCTGCATGTGTTCCTTGGGAGCAGAAAGCAAGTCCTTTGCTAGTTCTGAATCCTCATAGCCAGATGAGATCCAAATATAAATATAAATTTATTTATGGCAAGGGGATTATTCTTTGCTTTGTTTTATAAACTTAGTTTGTGGCTGTGCTCCAGTTTCACATATGTTGACATTTAACATTGTATAAATTTAAGGTGTACATGTTAATTTGATACACAAATATTGTAATATGATTGCCATTGTAGTGATAATTAGAACCCCTGTCATGCTACATAATTATGCTCCAGTTTTTAGACAAACTGCTGTAGTTTTCCATTACTGAGTTAAAATTTCTTATCATCAGGAGTTACCTATCTGTAAGTTCCTAGTAGAGAATATTTAATTCCTGGCTTTAAAAAAAGTGAGTTACCTGAACACAGTATTTACTGTTAACCTGTGTTTTAATAGGCTCTGTCTGGAAAGCTCTATTTCTTATTTTTGGTAGAATGCAAAGAACATGAGATTCAAACTCGGAAGTTCTGGGACCTAGTCTGCTCCTCTGTTCCATAAAGGAAATTTTGACATGGCTGTTTATGGACACAGCCAGTTTTGAAATGGGAGATACTTAATAGGAATAAACATAATTGGGTCACAATGCAGTAACATTTCTCTTATGATAAAAATTTTACGTTCCAAAGTCCCTGGTGCTCTTGCCGAGCCTGCCCCACGTCAGAGCCTCCCGAGCCCTGTGCCCATGGCCTACCCAGATGCTGACCCTCTCCACCCTCGGGGTGGCAGGGTGGGCCTAGGCTAGCAGCTTTGCTGGTATGCGTCATGATATGAAACCGGCAGGGAAACACCACCCTATGCAACAATAGAAACAGCTAACACTGCATAGTGCTAGGGCACGTCTTAAGGGCTACGTGCACTGACTTACTGAAACATCACAACCTTCAATGAGTTAATCAGGGACTACTACGATCTCCACTTTACAGAAGGAAAAACTAACCATACCATCAATCCAGGGTCAAGGGTGACATCTGTAAACAACTGGGAGCCTCAGGGATGGGTGAGGCCTAAGAATGGAGTCCAGGACGGTGCAGATCACAGATGGTGCGATGGGCATCTGTTGCCTTTGTTTGCCTTTCAAAGTAAGTGTTCTCAAAAATCTATAAAAGTATGTAAGGGCTATAGTCTCATAACTTATTCTTGCCTCAATTTCTTCATCTTTTAAATTAGCAAAAAAGACCTGCCTTATCCATTTCAAAAAATTATTCTGAACATCAAACTGGACAGCAAAGAGAAGAGTAGTAGGCTGCGGCTAAGTCCCTCACAGAGTAAGGTGCACTGATCGCCCTCATCTGCACCTGCAACTCCCAACATTCTTTTCCTCAAGGGCTGGATCTGACCTGTGTCTGCAGCAGAGAAGAGAGGCAGGACGAGGGGAATGTGCCTCAGAAATGGCTAAAAAATAGCTCTGCATTAACTCCTGGCTGAGAGCTTTCACAATTAACTCCCACTGGTGAATTTTAACTAGTGCATCACAGTCAGAAACGCACACCAGGACTTCGAAAAGTGACTTCACTCCATCCTCTTACATAACTGTTTGGAAAACACTGTCGGTATTAAAATGATTCCCACTGTGAAAATGGCTCCTTCTGCTCTACCCTGTTTTCTGCACAAAATTTTATGTTAATAACTTACTGGTTCTCAGGGGACTGAAGAGCAGGCATATTTGCAAGTAAGCAATCCACAGTGCCCCCTTGCTCCCGGATAGAGATATAAAAGTGCAAGCCCATAAGCCAGGCAGGGAGTCAGAGGAGTATGCCCACTGCTTTTCTGAAGGTCTGGGACGACAGAATCACAGTGAAGATGTGTACTGAATGTGGGCTTATGTTAATGAGGGAGCAAGGTGAAAAAAAGAGAACATTGATGCCAAGCAGATGAAATGAAACCTTTCCAAACACTTGTATCACACAGTGTCGTGTCCACCAACGGCTCTTACTGACCAACCATTAGATGAGAACCTATTGCGTTTCATCCATACAGTCTTGTTTGTTATAGATTCCTGTCACCGTATCTAAAACATATTTCTTGCTGGAGGTATACTAATGATGCTGTGCTTTGAAAAGTATCATTTGGTTTTGGGTTTTAAATATTTAACACATTAATGAAAGGGTGACTGAGGAAAGCACTACTTTTTCAATAAATAGCACCCAGAACCAATTTGTCTGGGAGGAGACATGCCAGCAATCATGGTGGGCATTTCCAAGAGTCTTCGTATATTGCTCTCATTTCTGACTACTTTGTAAGTAACTTTGCATTTACTAGCATCAGTCCAGGTTAACTACATAATTACATTTGGATTTTCAACTGGACGGAAGGCCGGTGCCCCTAATCCTTGAGTTGTTCAAGGGTCAACTATAGTTAATAGTTTCATTAAACTAGCTAAAGTTTTAAAAAGGCAAACGGGATAACTATTTAAAATAATAAGCACATTTTTATTATGGTTCTCGTCTCTCTTCTAGAGCAGACATTTTTCTCTCGCTCAGACTTCACCTACACTTTCCATTCAGAGTATCATCTTTCACAGTCTCAGCATGGACAGTCACGTGTCCTAGACTGCGGCCTCCTCGAGGCTCCTCAATACGCTCGCCAAGAGTAATTGTTCGGACCAATAGGATAGCAGTGATGCTGGTGGACTTCTGAGGCTGGAGTGTAAGCAATACAGCTTTTGCTTGGCTCTGCCTCTGCAGACACACAGCGCTGAGCCACCATAATACAAAGGCTGGCTTTCCGGAAGCCACCAGCAGTGCTGGGAGACCACACAGGGGTGGAGAGAAGCCTAGAAGCTCCCGCTGTTCCAGCCCCCAGCTGCTGAGGCTTCCTGGCTTGGGCTCCTGAATGAAGGCGCCTTCAAGATGGCTCCAACCCCATCTACCATCTGACTGCAACCTCATGAAAGCCCCTCAACTCAGAACCACACAGCTGAGCCACTTCTAAATTCTCATCCCACAGAAACAGAGAGATAATAAATGAATATTATTGTTTTAAGTTGAGGTAATTTTTTTATTGATTTTTTTTTTAAGGGAGAGAGAGAAACATCAATCAGATTCCTCCTGCATACACACCAACTGGGGAATCAAACCTACAACCTGGGCATGTGCCCTAACCGGAATGGAACCTACCACCCTTTGGTATGCGGGACAGCACTCCAACCGAGCCACACTGGACAGTTGAGGTAATTTTTACTGTTGGGCATAATTTGTTATGCAGTAAGAGGAAACCAATATGAAATTTATTACAAAAACTACTAAAAACTCTACATTGTTAGTCAACTATTAATTAAATGAACCAGTAAATCAGCTTCCTATTAGAGTTCTTCAATCTGCATGTCCTTCCACTGTCTATAACCTTACTCTGCTTTAACACATAGCTCTTATTACCATGTAACATGACATGTTTTACATGACACTAAATGCATCAGGAAATGTGTTCACTTCTGCATCCCAGCCCCAAAAGCAGCTCTTGGTCAGCAATCAATCACTGGCTGGCTGACTGAATGAATGAGTGAGTCTGGAGGTGAGCTAGCTTGGTCTTCCCAAAGCACTATTTGATTTCCCAGCCAGCTGCCCTCCGTCTTGACTCAGTGTCTCCTGACATGTGTTCACTGCTCAGTTTCTGACTCTCTAATTACTACTTACAAAATTGTTTAACACCAACTTTCCTGTCCACTCAGACGTACAGATCCCACCAGAGAAACCACACCGTCCCACTCCATGATGCCAGTTTAGCACCCAGAGTGAAGCTGGTAATTAATTTTTTCAACACACCTGTGTACTAAACCCTTTCCAGGTGGTCTGAAATGTCAAATAAAATTACTCCATTTTTCATCCAAAGACCACATGCCTCATAGGAAAATGACCTCATGTCAGATGGTTTACATAGCCACTGAGCCCACTAGCAAAGGCCACGGAGCCATCCCATATATCTCTGTCTATGTGATGATTTCACCGAGTCGGCTAAGTCCTCTCACTATGGCAGACCCAACAAAGCACTGCCACTGGGTGAGTGTCAGAGCACGCTTCAGTGCATTTCAAGTCAAATGAGAGCTGGCTAGTTAAGCAGCAGCATCAACAGATGTAGGAATACCCCCAGCAAACTATCTCGGGCCAATTATGGCTGCCCAGCTACACCCAAACTAAAAATAACCCAGTACTAACAACAGAACCCACACAGGTGTCGGAGGCTCCCCCTCCCCCTGTGATATCACTGATATCACGGTGGAGTCTCCCCATAAATGTCCCTGTAAAGTGACCATAAATAAGCCATTGAAAAGTTCACCTTCTTTAACAAGGTAGATCAGATCTCAGCAAAAAAAGAAAAAGGAACAAACTGAAAAAAGAAATGTGGCTCATCTGTAAGTGACAAGCCAATAAACGAATAGGAATCTTGAGTGAAGAAGCCTTCTGAAAACTGTAATGAAGAGTCTAAATTAGTGGCTGCCCCACAGAAACTGAATGTGAGCCAAACATGTACCTTTAATTTTCTAGCAGCCATATGTTTTAAAGATAAAACTTTAATAATACGAGTTTCTAATGTCCATTTTAACTTGATCTAAAATATTATCAATTCAGCATATAATCAATATAAAGTTATTAAAGAATAGTTTGCGTTCTTTTTTTCCTACTATGTCTGTGAAATTCAGCATGTAGTTTACACTTACAACACATCTCAGCTTGGACGGGCACATGTGGCTGGTGGTTACCAAGTCAGGTAGCACAGGTCTAGAATGATCCTTATTTCTGTTTTGTAAAACATTAAAACTTCCAAAGCACTAAAAATTTTCCACTAGGGAGGTAAAATAAATACACTGTTAGAATTATGGACAATGATATCACATAGTTTTAAATGAAATAAAATCACAAAAGCCTGCTATTTTAAATTAAATAAAATCTGTCCCCCAGAAGAACTCAGCCCTCCAGAAGTTATGATCTGCCCACAAATGGGAAACTGAGGCCCTGAAGGGCTCCTAAACTTTGCTTCTCCTTCACCACAATCTGACAAGGGCCAGGGCTCCTCGTTTACCTTTGTTCACTTTAAAGGATCTCCAAATAGGGAGTGAAAATCAATTACTCGTTTAGGAAATGTCCAGGGACAGAGGGGAAGGGAGTGTATTTCAATTACAGAAGGCAACCTCGCTCCTAAGGCAGATCCCCATCTAACTGTGGTCATTGTTTTCCTTTTTATTACCATTTGGTCTCATGCTGTCCCCATGCAGAACAACTACCACAAGGGTCTCTCAAGGGAGAGTCCCCACATGGGGTGCTGATAATGGGCCCCACCATGAGGCTGCTCTGCTGGCTTTTGTTTGGAACAATAGCATTCCCATGATACCTCACTCTTGCTGAAAATATTGGTATTAAGAGAGCATGAACACAGCTGTGTGTAAATTACACACAGAGATTAGATCTGTATATTTATAAGGAACACAAACATACTAATAGCACAGTTACATACACAGTCGGGTACACTGGGCTGCATGGAGAGTACGGTTTGAGTTCCAAAGTATTTCTTTAAAATTTTCTAGAATGAAATGCTTAATCTGCACAGTCAGGCTGAGGTTCTTCTGCCCCTCCTCCCATGCAGAATGCCCCTCCCCCCCAGATTCCTCTTCACTTTCATTTGCAATATGGGAGAAATTATTTGAAACTCTATGAAGGAGAAATCTCACAATAAAGAGCTTTAAAATTAACTTTTATAGTAAAAATAAATCAATATGGGATGATTTTCAGTTAAAAAGTAATAATTATAAATTGAGGGAGGAGGATAAAAGAAGGCAGTGTGGGCAGAAGCAGAAAGTGGGAAGAATCTGAAAGTTCAGAAATAACTTGTCCTGCGATGACAGTGTTCTCTTCTCTACACAAATGCATTATGTACAGAGAGGATGGCCTGTTCACACCGCACGGGGAAGGCAGGGTTCTTTGCATTTTTCCGCTAAATTTGAAAAACAGAAGTGCACTCAGCATTATATATTCACTGCATTAAATCCAGATATAGACACGTGACCAGGAAACCTGGGCTCTGTTCTCTGCCTGATTCTATCACGGCTTTTGATGACCCAGGCGAGCCCTTAACATCCATTCCCTGGGCTGAGTTTCTCATGGAAAGATGGCATCCCAAGTACCCTAATTGACCAGATAAAGCACTAACTTTTAAATTAAGTGTTCAGGAAGGTAAAAGAAAAATAGTAATAATCCAACTAAGCAGAAATGTAAAAAAAAAAATATATATATATATATATATATATATATATATATATATATACACACACACACACACATAATAAGCTCACTATAGGCCTTAATTTTATTCTTTAAAAGCTTTAAAAAACATGCTCCAACTGATACTTTTCATCTTTTATTTTTTCTTGGTGTGGTTTATATAAACTCCTGGTTTAAAATGAAAGAAAAGGTCCATTTCTGAGGCTTGGGTTTACCGTGCTTACAGTTCCACCAATAAATCATCTCCCAATCTGGGCTTGGAAAAGCACTGGCCACGGTTTGATTGCTCCAGCCCCAGGTTGCCAGGCAACCAACACAAGGGGGAAGTCTGAGAAGCGCTGACAGATAGCCAAGTGGCTGAAACAACAGACTTCTCTCTGTCAAAAATGTGTTTCAGAGAGCCACTTCCCCACCT